GACCCATATGAGTGAGCGTTGACCAAAAATAAGTGCCAAAGATCTGCCGCGCCTGAGCTATTGAATCCCTTTTTGACATACAGAAGGCCCTCAAAAAATGAATCACGGTTCTTTATTTTATGCCATGCATGGCTCCCTATAGCCTTCAAAAAGTATTCTCGAAAATGGGGCATGACCTGAAAGACCTTCCTCTACAGAAAACGTGCTACCACAGTCACGTACGGAACGGCTTCAAGGACTAGGTCGTTTTCAGTGCCTTTGAGCTGGTGTAACAAGACCCCCGTACGCCTCACACATAGCGAAATTGAAACTTTTGTAAGATATGAGTTGAAGAACAATGAAGCATTCGCTGACCTGTCTCAATAAATTCTTATCCGCGTTTCTTTTCTTTTGGCATGTAGCTTTGGCTGCCTGAAAAAACTCTCTCTTATTACTCAAGGGGAGAATAGATCAAATTACTGCTCATTCTCTTTTCCAAGCTGGAGACGAGTGGTGGCGCCATGAAAATCAAAACACTACAAAGAAAAGAAAGAAATGGTGTATGATTGGAGCTGCTAGCAGTTCATGAAAAGAGTACTTTCAAATGAAGTGCACACTTCTGAGCGCGGTAAATAAGGATTCTTCGACAAGTTAGAACGTCGAAGAAAGAACCAGCTAGTGGAACACAGGTGGATCCCCAAAGCTGTGGACCGATACGCTATTCGCAGCGAAGGATATTGCCCGTGAACTCGCGGCGCTGTCGACACGGCACTCCTACACTAGCTGTTCTCATGAGCAGGTCTCTAGCTGTTTGCACAAAGAGCGTTAGCGTCGAATGTGGGAGCGCTGATAAAACATGGATCAAGGTGAAAACCAATGGTCAGAATAAGAAGTGGGTCCCACTTCTCGGGTTCTGTTGCTTTTCTATTGGTTTTTCATCCGGGCACCATTTACCAACTCTAGCTTAACTCTGATGAGCCTCCAGCTTAATTTCAATAGGCTGCCTTCTGACCGTAAACTCCGCCTCTAGGCGCTCTGCACCGCAATGCCACCACTCGTCTCCAGGTGGAAAAGAGAATGAGCAGTAATTTGATCTATTCTCCTCTTGAGTAATAAGGGAGAGTTTTTTCAGGCAGCCAAAGCTACATGCCAAAAGAAAAGAAACGCGGATAAGAATTTATTGAGACAGGTCAGCGAATGCTTTATTGTTCTTCAACTCATATCTTACAAAAGTTTCAATTTCGCTATGTGTGAGGCGTACGGGGGCTTGTTACACCAGCTCAAAGGCACTGAAAACGACTTAGTCCTTGAAGCCGTTCCGTACGTGACTGTGGTAGCACGTTTTCTGTAGAGGAAGGTCTTTCAGGTCATGCCCCATTTTTGAGAATAGTTTTTGAAGGCTATAGGGAGACATGCATGGCATAAAATAAAGAACCGTGATTCATTTTTTTTGAGGGCCTTCTGTATGTCAAAAAGGGATTCAATAGCTCAGGCGCGGCAGATCTTTGGCACTTATTTTTGGTCAAAGCTCACTCATATGGGTCGCTGATGGTTATCCGTGGGTACCATTTTGTGACATCATGCAAGCTCCCATCAACATGCAAAAGTTTTTCGCCACGGGTAATATGCCATGCATGAAGAAATGCCACGCCTTTTTTGGCTTTTTGGTGTAAAGGGTGCCTCCAATCGAACAAGGAAAAAGCTCATGTTCCACGTACGTGTCTATAAAAATGAGGGAAACCGTTCTGAAAAGCGAGACATGGCTTGGAAGACTTTCTGGTAAACGCACGTAAGTCGTGTGACAGTCGTGACTCGAGAATGTACGGGAAAGCGCAAACCTTGACTTCACCGTCATTTCAACTGCTGCCATTCGTACTCGTTCGCGCATACGCGATGACTACGCCCGGTCGCGAAAAATGATATCGCTTGTGCTTCTTCTCCTCCCAATGCTGGGTCTTTCCCGTGTCAAGGTCGACGTCACAGGGGAAGAAGGAGGAAAGGAGTTTCTTTAGGTGCTTCCTGTGTTCCATTTGTACCTTCTCAGTGACGGTTATCTTTGCAATAGTTTTTCCATTTTCAAGCAATTAACATAACACAACAATTTGATCTCGATCCATGCCTTCAAGTAGACCGGGCGTGTCTCATGTATTCTGCGCGAGAGTGAGAACGAGCAACGGCTAAAAAGCGGTTCTACTGTAAACCGCTTCTCTGCAACAGTACATGCGTAGCCTGCTGTAGCGCTTATTATGACTTCATAGCATATAGTGCTATGAAGTTATAATATGTACTGTATATAGTCAATGCCACCTCTCCATGGCCACACGCCAAGCGCTCGAGAGTTTTATTCACTTACCTTATTCATTGAGCTGCACAGACTATGTTTAGACTGTCGTGCAAGGCGTTGTGTTCGCAGTCGAGCTGAGCACGTACTTCTACTTCAGCTTTTTCTTCCAAAACAAATGGATAATTTGGACTTTAACGACCGTGGCATGGAATCTTGTGCACTTCAGCGATGCGTAAGTTCAATACTCAAGATGATTTCATTAAAAGGAAACAGAGTGGCTCACAGTAACAACCTTCCCCTCTCTCGCGGTGAACCTCATTCATCCGAAGTCTCCTGCTCGGCAAAACATTGTACAGTATCCTCGTGATAAAGGAAAATTCGTTAGTGTTCAATGGCAGTGATCCCCCTGGATGAGGCGCGTAGACGGGTTGGACACGTCGTCGGTAGAAGAGCATCGTCATTGATGGGAAGGCGTTGAGGGGCGGTCCAATGGCGCGTCCCACCAATGAGGATACTCTTCTCCCTCGGTGGCTTGTTGAACTCGTCTCCGCTTCTAAGCCAACATGACCGCTGTCTCAAGTGTGAGAAGGGTAGGAAGCTGAATTCTTCACCACCAATGCGACTCAATTCTTCTTACCATTAGCCTAGAGTCTACGGGTGCTGAGAGATAGTGAAAGTCCACAGCTAATCAGAATTCACCCAGTATTTTGCTTTCGTTATTTCATTTGAATTCGAACTAATATGACCGTTCTGCGTCTATTCTGATAGGGTGGTTCATGAAAGTTGAATAATTTACCTGGTAAGCCTCGAATTTTTAGAGGTAAGAGTGCACAGATTCAACCAATAGTTTTATCTCTAGACTCTTCGCATACCACTGTGCCCACGCCAGATTTTAGAAACCAAAGAGAAAAACATTTGAAACTCGAAAAAAGTTACCAAAAAAGCTGGTTCAGAAGCTAACCTTGATTGGAAATCAGGCTACGATTCCCCTGAAGGCTTCATACCTGCCCGCTTTACGCTGCTTTGCATCACATACAATCAATGTCACACAGGATTATACAAGGGTCAACAACAGACACTATGGACCCTCCCAATGTAGGGGAGTGGGTCGCAAGAGGGAGGAGTTGAGTGGTAGTAACTGAGTTTATAGCCAAATTCGCTCGATACTTGACTCGCCCGGAATCATTGCCGCAATGACACTATGGACCGAATTCCTTCTCAGCCCAATAGCCCAGGGATAAGGGCGATTCTGTCAAATTAGTCTTAGTGCCAGTCACAATACAACGTTAGCCTTATCATTGGGCTGTTGGTAGTATTAGATGAAGCATTGATAGGATCGGCACAGAAGCCCAAACTTTCCACTGCGATTTCGATATCTTGTTATTTTGAATGGCTGGATTGTGATGAGAAAACTATTATTTGCAGGGTTATCATCATTGCGTTTAACAAAGAGTTTCGACGACTTATTTGCTCACCTTTCTTACGTTTGTGGATCAAATGTAAGTTGAGCTTTTGCCAATTATAGAAGAAAAGGAGGACAGGACAGGACAAATTAAATTTATATTAAAAAATTTATTTCTAGGAAACATAAAATTTGCCCGACATTTAAGGGTGTTGTTTACTAATGCTAGTCAAACACCCAGGTGTTTTTGAAGCTCATTCCGTGGCAGCGGAAGTGAAGGTCTTGGGTTCCACATATGGATTGAGTGCTGACGGAGTTCTCAAGGAGCATCTTCGGCATTATTGAACTATTACAATGCCAGTATCCCTATGGGGGTTATCGAGGGTACTAATCAAGAAGATGGGATCCATTTTTGGTGTGGCGCCAAACTGGCGCCATTCGGCGCCATATGGCGCC